GAAAATTAGTGAGACCTAAAAAATACATTAAAAATAAAAGTGCAGGGGAATGTAGCTCAGTAGAAGTGTGTCCATGGGCTCTATCTCCAATACGAGAGAGAGAGAGAGAGAGGGAGAGAGAGAGAGAGAGAGAGAGAGAGAGAGAGAGAGAGAGAGAGAGAAAGGAAACAGAGAGAGAGGGAGGAAGGGAGGGAGGGAGTGAAGGAGGGGAGGAGAGAGGGAGAGAGAGACAAGGAGAAGAAGGAAGAGGAGGAAGAGAAGGAGGGGAAAGGAAAAGAAAATGGCACATTAAAAATATTATTCACCATTATCAAGTGAGACTTATCCTCAGGATATAATGCTGATTCAGCATATGTAAATTGGTAACTGTGTTGAACCAAATCAGCAGAATGAAGAACAAAAACCATATGATCATGTCAATGATGCAGAAAAGACACTTGATAAAATCCAACATCCTTTCATAATAATGACACTGAACAAATTGGGTACAGAAGGAGTTAACCTTAACATAATAAAGGCCATATATAATAAGCCAGCAGTTAATATCATACTGAATAGGAAACAATGGAAGCTTTCTTTCCAAGATCTAGAATAAGAAAAGGATACTCACTTTCATCACTTTCATTAAATGTGCGGTAGGATGAACAATCAGGTAAGAAAAAGAAATAAAGAACATCCAAATTGGAAAAAAGGAAGTCAAATTGTCACTGTTAGACAATGATATAATCTTATGTATAGAAGTCTCCAAAGAATCCCCTCACTCATTCATATATATATGAATATATATATATGAATATATATATATATGTGTGCACTAATTAGTAAATTCATCAAAGTTGAAGCATACAAAATTGGCTTATGCCAATAGTGCATTATCTAAAATGGAAATCAAGAATGTTCCCATTTACAAGAGTTACAAGAAAATTAAAACAGACAGGCATGGTGACACATATCTGCAATATCAGTGACTCAGGAGGCCAAGGCTTGAATATCATAAATTGAACCAGCCTAATCAACTTAGTGAGAATTTGTCTCAAAAAAAAAAAAAAAAGGCAGATCGGGGTTGGGATATGGATCACTGGTAGAACAACTCAGGGTTCAATCCCTAGTACTAAAACATAAAAACAAAAACTAAACAAAATGAAGAGAAAGAACAAAATACTGGGAAATGAATATAGTTGAAAAGGCAAAAATTAAAATCAAAATTTTTTAAATTGATGAAAGAAATTGAAGGCTACTCACAAAAATTGAAAATTCATGTTTGCAGATAGGAAGAATAGATATTGTTAAAATGTCCATAGAGAAATATCTGTCAAAAATAACAATGATACCCATCCCAGCACTAGAAAAAGAAATCTTGAAATTTGTTTAGAACCATAAAATACCCTGAGTAGCCAAAGTCTTCCTGAGCAAAAAAGAACAACATAGGAAAAATTACACTACAAAGCTACAAAGCTGCACTCATCACCCCAGAAAGAGTGGCATAAATACAGACATAGAGGCACAGAGTACAGAGTTTCCTAGGAGACCCACACCTCTATATTCCCCTGCTCTCTGACAAAGGGGCTAAGAACACATATTGGAAAGGGACGGTTTTCAATAAATGGTACTGGGAAAATGGGATCTTCATATGTCAAAGAATGAAACTAGATCCATATTTCTTACCAATTGCAAAATCAACTCAAAACAGATGAGACTTAAGGGTAAAACCTGAATCTATGGAACTACTAGAAGAAAAGATGGGGGAAATCTAAATTCAGGACATTGGAATAGGTAGCAATTTTTTGTTCAACTTCCCCAAAGCACAGGAAGGAAAAACAAAAATAGAAAAGCAAAAGCAAAAGCAAAAATAGGGATTTCATCAAACTGCATTACAAAGGAAACAATCATTGGAGGAAAAGAGGCAACCCTCCAAACAGGAGAAATGTTTACAAACTACACATTTGGCTACGGTCAATATTCAGAATATAGAATGAACTCAAAATCTCCAGAGCAGAAAATCACAGAACCCAATTAAAAATGGATGATAGACTTACATAGACATTTCTCAACAGAAGACATACAAATGAATAAGAGGCTTGTGAAACAACCACACACACACAAAAAAAAACTCAATAACACTAATTATCTGGGAATTAAAATTAAAACCACAATGGGGTCTTCACAAAGAGGTATTACCTCTCTCCACTAAATATGGCCTTTTCAGATACACACCATGTAAGTGTTGTTTAGTGACCCTGTTATGCAACAGCACATCATACTTCATGGCCCTAACTGTCACTTGGTTCCCATTGATCCAACCTCTCCCCATCCCACTTTCACATATCTCCCAAGCCATTGATAACCACCTTCTATTCTCAACTTCTATGAGATCAGTTGTTTTATATTCCCCCATATGAGTGAGAATATGGCTCATAAGAAGTTCCATACTTTTATTTCTTTTTTTAATTTTTTGAGAGATAATTTTTTAATATTTATTTTTTAGTTTTTGGTGAACACAACATCTTTATTTTATTTTTTATGTGGTGCTGAAGATTGAACTCAGTGCCCCAAGCATGCCAGGCGAGCGCACTACTGCTTGAGCCACATCCCCAGCCCATACAAAAGTATTTCTGTAGCTGGCTGGAAGAAAGGATTTTGAAATTTTTCACCATAGAGAAATAATACATGTTTGAAAAGACCGATATATTTAACCCAATTTAAATGTTACATGATGTATGGAAACATCCCATGGCATCCATTCATATTTAAATTTTTTGTGTTTTCAATTAAAATATATTTAATTTAAATTAAGAAAAATTAATAATTTGTTGAGGATAGAATCTTATAAGGATTCAGTGCTAAGTTATCTTGCTTTGGCACACAAGAATTATAGTATGTCAACAAATTTGGCAAAAAGTAAGCCACAAAAGAGGAAGGAAAAATGTTAAGGAAATTTTTGCAAAATGGTTTTTCATTAAAAATGATATTCTCTCTTACTTCAAATTTTTTCAACTAGCTTCAGATAGCAATCAAGATTATAGATTGATATCGGTTGTCCATAAATGAAGCCACTGTGATTCTTTGCAGCCAATCAGTCTGCTGCTGAACGTCTAGTAAAATAGTCATAGGCATAGCAGCCAGTCAATGATTTGCAAAATTTGAAAAGTGATCTGCATCTTGATGAGGAAGAATTGCTGTTGCCAGAAAAAAAAAATCATCATTATAGCAAGGTTATCAGAGAGACGCTTCTGGCACTGAAGTATCATTGACTCATAAATCCTGTGGAATTTTTTTTAAACACAATTTCAACAGCAATGCTTTGTTAGAGGAAAGTTTGACTTACGCTTCTGATTCAATTTTGTTTCATTAGTTGAGGGTATTTTATGAAGCCCCAAGAGGGTTTTTAAAAAATATGTGTTTACAAACCATTCAAAATCTTGCTTTACTTATAAACTGGAATATTTTCCTTGTATTAAACAGTTTTATTATCTACATTGCATATTTTTTCCAAGACAGGGCTGAATTCTAAGCTTAACACTTTTTTTTTTTATCTGTTAACTGGTACACAAAGAACAGATATAACACAGAATAGAGAGAGATACCCACAGGCCTGCACCTGACAACATGTAATACACGTATGTCCATGCTGTCACGGTGGAAAATTAACACCATCCTGCTCTGTGACTCTTGACAAGCCAGGCTACTTGCTGTTTGTGTTGGGTCCATCCATACATATTCCATCTCATGATGCATGAGTCAATGGATTCTTGAGACATTGTGCTACCTGGGAATCGTTACAGAGGCAGGAATCATTGCAAATCAAATCCGTTTCTAATGTTCAGGGGAAAGGTAGAGGTCAGACAACTACAATGTCAATATTTATGATTCTACTACTTATAAGTCTTTATCTTGCGTCAGGTGCAAATGTAGTGTGAGTTTATGAGCAAGACAGATGTGAACACCCTGTGTTCTGGACAGAGGGTAACTCAACTCCTGAACATGGTGGTAGTCAGCAATGATCTGAAGGATTCCACAATCTGCATCTGGAGAGAGGGAGAAAGAGCTACCAGGGGTATGTTGTGTACTCCATGCAGAGTGTTGGGAAGAGGTTGGGGAGCCTGTGCTCACAGATCACAAGAGCAGGACACATTTGTAATTGCCAAAGTGTGAGTAGGAATGTACCAGCTAGCAGCCAGAGGAAAGAACCCTGATTTGGAGGGAGCTTCCAAGAGGATCTGGTTTCCAGAATGCTCTTTAGGTGAGGAGATGGCTCTCCTAACCAGGCAAGAAGTGCATTTTCTAGGAATGAAGCAAAAAGGTCAGAGTAATGCCAGAGAAAACCGGATTCAAGGTGAGTCTCTGTTGACAATACAATAACAAATATTTAAACCCCCTATGTTGAGGTTTGGACTGGTCCCAGAATTGAGCAGAACTGAGCCTATTGGTGGATTGGGGGTGTGGAACAGGGGGCTGGCTCTGCAGGGGGAGGTGGGAAGAAGGGGAGACCAGGACAGAAGGGTGCTATGAACTTCACCTTTGGCTCCCTTCTTCTTCCTTTTTGAAATTTGAATCCATTTCTAAAATTAGCACTTCATTTAGATCATGTCTTAATTCTAAAGCTAATGGCACTTAAAATGCCACGGGGAAACTTGGTATGATGAGAGCATCCAAACCATGTGAAAGGAAAAATAATCCCTTCAGATCCCCAAGATTTCACCCTCCCCTGACCCAGGGGGTAAATGACGGGACAGCAGATTAAGGAGACACTAATGTTAGAAGGCTACCACTTCTGAATGTACCATTAAGAAAATGAAAAAGCATTTGTTTCTGTTTTCTTAATATGGGGAGAATTTAAAAATATATTTCCTTCATTCCATAAACATTTCTTGAGGACCTTGCCTTGTGCTAGACACTGAAATAGCATAGTGAGCTAGCAAGTACTGGTTTGTGACCTTGGGAAGCTCACAATCCAGGGTGGGTAAACAAAGGGGCCATGGTAGCTGTTGGGACTGGGAAAGGCAAAGTCCTATGGAAGCCCCCATCTGGGCATCTTGTCCTCAGAGACCCAGGTAAAGGCTGCACAGGGTGGGGAGAGGGTTAGTGATGAGTTTTCCAGGCAGAGGGGACATTATATATGGAGGTCCAGAAGCAAGAAAGAAAATTGTATACTTGAAGGAAATGATTCAGCCAAACTAGAACTCAGCCCCTCAAAATTGGGGGGAGTCCAGAGAGAGGGGGATCATGTTCTCTGTTAATTTAGAATCCTGAAAGTAAGGGCTTGGCACCTGCGTTTATAAAGTAGGTTTTAGCAATCACAGAATTATTAGTAAACCTCTTATGTGTTGTGGAATTCTTCCTCTAAAGGTTTAAACCCATTGCTCTCTGGTATTGAATGTCTTTATGTCACCATAGTCTTGGTGAGCTGGACCAAATCGCTGGTGGGAATGGGACTCCAGCAGGTGTGACAGCCACTGTGGTCCCTCAAGTCACATATGCTCCAGTCCCAACCTCATGATTTGAACAAGCCTCCCTAGCTGGTGGGAAGGCTGTCAACAGAGGACCACTTTGTGAGACACTCACTCACACATTTAAAATATGTCACAGGTATTCTATGCTTTTGACAGGATTTTTCCCTGCAAGTTCATGGATGGAAACCTGGGTCTCATACATGCTAGGCAAGTGCTCACCACTGAGCCACACCCCAACCCAGAATGTTTCGTTTTTAGAAACCTTTTTTTTTCCCCATATGTTTTATCTGAAATTTTAAAATGCTGATTAGCAAATATAGGATTTTGAGGTCTCCTGATTTTTCTTTCTCTACCTTCGAAGCATTTTCTTTTCTCCAAAAGAAAATTGATTTTTTTTTTAGTCTTTCAATTTAAGGGATTGCTTTAGGAATATCATTAAAATATTTAACAAACATTTTCAGTTATAAATTTTTAAAATATTTATTTTTACTCTCTTCCAAATGTTCTTTTTCTTGATAGTGAAAATACTTAATCTACTCAGGGGATGAATTTCATGCAAAGTTTTATGTCTAAAAACGAAATTCTGTCTTTTGCTGGCAATGAGCATAACATCTGCAGGTCATTAAAGGAAATTCCTTTGGAAAGCACTATATTGTGTCTCTACTGAATGATTTCTCACTTGGAAGAGAGTCAATCATGTATTTCATGATATTTCAAAAGCAGTTATGACCTAAATTAATAAGAACAAATTTTATTTAACTCATTACATTATAAATCAGCTTTCATAAGTTGTTTTTTAATGTTTGGTGTGTTCTTTAAAATACTTGTGGCTGTTAACATTTATATTACAATAATTCTCTTATCATTGATACAAAACAATTTGCTAAAGACATTCTAGAATCACAAAGGAATTTTTTTGAGGAGTCACTGCTTATGGCCACAGCTGTAAAATAATTCTATATAATATCATCCAAGTAGGGCAAAGGCAAGAGGAAAAGTTCTCCCACATCCTCTTCAGAATTTGATCCCAAGGAAATACAGCCAAACATGATGCCCCACCCACAGAAAGGTACAGTGATTTATTCATAAATAATTAGAGTATTTTTAACCTAATATTGGAGTGTTGGTAGCTGTGGATGTAGGGAGAAGGACAATTGCTTCTCAGCCCATCATTAATAAGAAGAGAGGAAAAAAAAATCACACACTTATTTTATATGTGTAAAATTATATATATTGTACATGTAATTAACCAAAAGTAACCAACATATAATGTGTACAACTGTAGACCATAATATATAATTGAATTTATAACTTACATGTACTTATTATGATTTATAATTATATAATATATACACACACACACACACACAAATGCACCATCCATTATAAAAGAGAAGTAACCCTTATAATCCATCCCCCATGAACTGTCAGTGAGGCTTCTTAAAAAAGAATTCTAATTCAAACCTATAGTTTCTACAAAGAAGATTTATTGTGTTCCCTCTCTCCCGTTAGTTGCTCACGATAAAGAGAAAACTAAACATATTTTGTGAGAAGTGTTTTTTATTTAACTAGGGATGCCAGTTTTCCATAATAACACTACCATCTGCTGGAACTTTAGGATATTATTGCTAGAAAGAAGTTTTAGAGGCCTTGGGTTGCATTTTGACAACTATGGACCACCCAAACTGATCTGTTTGTTTATTTTATTTTATTTATTTATGGTATTGGGGATTGAACTCATTGGCATTTACCCACTGAGCCATATTCTCAGCCCTTTTTTGTATCTTATTTAGATACAGGGTCTGACTGAGTTGCTTAGGGCCTCACTAAGTTGCTGAGGCTAGCTTTGAACTCGCGATCCTCTTGCCTCAGCCTCCCAAGCCACTAGGATTATAGCTGTGCATCCCCACGCCCAGCTCAAAGTGGTTTTTATTGTATATTTTTAAATAGCATTAAATAACTACTTCCAAAAGGGAATTTACTTGTAAACGCAATCTCACCCTCTTCCCAAGTAGCAGAAACTGAGAAGAAAGACAAAAGAAGGAAAGAAAGAAAGAGCTTTAATTTCTCTCTCTCAGTTAATCTTCTGTTCATCAACTTCATTTATAAATATATGGAATGACCCCATTGACTCTTGACTGCATGCTGACATATCTGCTGCATATTTAGAATATACAGTTAAATAATATACTGGTCTTCAGGTCCCAGTCTACCAGGAGACTCAGACCTAGATAAGCAGGTGCTGTACAGCATAGTAAGTGACAACATCCTGCTGTGGCCAGGGCCAGAGCAGGAGCCTCATCCCTCTGCTGGTCTGGCTGCACCTAGATGTAAATATTGGAAGGAGGAGTTTTTCTGGAAAAGATGCATCTTGAATTTTGAGCTGGAGTTATTCAGACAGACAAGAGAAGGCAAATGAATTTTGGAGAACATAGAAAGTAAGAAATGGTTAATTAATTGCCTACTATATAGTCACTTGTCAGGGGATGCTCCATGAAAGAAAGTTAGCCAAAAGATTTTGAAAAATAAGTCTGCCTTCACTAGCTAGATAAGACAGAATGGTAGGGTCAAAATTATAAGCTTGAGCTCTCAGTCAAATAAGGACTGAATCCAGTTTCCATGTTAGTTGTGTATTTATGGGAAAGTTCATGACTTTTTCAGTGCCTCCTTTTCTATGTTGTCAAAGAGAAATATTAACAGTTTCTGCCTTTTAGAGTAATTGTGAGGTCAAGTGGTAAGTGCTTGCTATGACACCCGCTCCACTGGTTCTTGGAAAACACTGTCTCTTTCTCTTTCTTTCCTTCTCATTTTCTCCTAAATAACTTTTCAGAGAACAAAGACATTGGTCAGAGAATGCACAAGCAAGAGCAGACGAACACGAACTTACTGGCACGTAAGCCGTCACTCTGTCAATCTGCCAGTCAACAAACATTGCCCACCTATTTTGCATCAAGCAAACCTCATGTGTGCTAGTGAGTTCAAGGGGCTGTGGTTGACAAAGGTTGCAGGACACAGAATCAAATCAATGAGTGAGCTCTTTAGCCTTGTTAGGAGTTTGCCAAGGATTTCTTTAAAGAAAATCTGACATGTGAGCCCTGTAGTGCAGGAGTTGAGGGCTCAGCCATTGTCCATTCTGAGGAACAGAAGGGCATCAGGCACCACTGTTCAAAGGTGCAAAATATAGCCCATGTGCATGCATCTTAAATAATTTTTGGACTAACATAGAAATTCCATCCTTTAGTTTGACACAGGCAAAGTAATATAAGAAATCAATGTCAGATGAATGAATTCTGTAAGTCCTCTAAGAGGGTCGTGAAATGATATATGCTGCCTATATAGGCAGCCTCCTCTGTGGCCAGAGGTGAAGACTGGCATTAGATGAATTTTGGCACACTGAGGATCAAATCAGATATTTAGAAATAAACAGCTGCAAATAAAAATTTTAATAAAAAGTGTAAGGTATGATATTGCTTGTGTCCTAAGTTGTCTTCACTAACCCCAGGGTCCTGTCACAGGTGGGCTACACGGTATGCAGACCTGTTGAATCAAATCCTGGATTTTATTTCTGACTATGTCCCTCTAAGGAATCCTCTTAATAAATACATTTATTAAGAAAAGTACGCAGGGAGTCTAGATGTGTGTCACTCATACTTCTGTGCATGCTATCCTTTTATGAGACACTTGTGTTCTCGCACTTTGTTTTCTTTCCTGGAAAATAGTAGGGGAGGTTCAATGTGGATTCAGATTTGTATCATGTGTCTAAAACAGAGAATGCTTCATAATGAACTGGTATAGTCCAGGGATGAAGAAGCTAAGAAAGATTACCCCTTAAGAAAGATTACTCAAGCCTCACTTTAGAAGACAGGTACAGAACGATCGAGACAAAAACTGAAAGGGCATTTGCCACGAGAAAACAGCGTGTTTCATCCCACAGTTTTCCATTAAGCCTATGTCTGTGGGTTGGGCTTCACAGGAGCTTCTGTAACTCCTTCCAGCCTTCCTTGGCCCCTTTTTCTTGTCTGACCCTGGAATTTCTGTGGGTTTGAACTAAAGCGCAGCTGCCATTGTCAGGGTGAGGAGCGAGGAGGCAAGAAGGTGGTGGCCTCATTGTGGTGGCTGCAGACTTGGAGCAATGGGGAAGAGGAAGCCTTGAATCATCCCCCAGCTTTGAAGTTGCTTCACTCAACTTTTATCATTTCAAGAACCGCAGTGAAAGCAAGTTTGTCATTATCCACCCCCCCCCTTTTTTTTCCCCCGCTGGAGTGCAGCAAATACCAGAGGCATCAGAGACAAAATTCAGGATAGCAATAAATTAACGGGGCTCTCACTACAGAGGAAAATAAGACAATAAGTAGGAAGTAAATGGCTGAAAGGGTTTTCTCAAGCAGCATAAATCAAAAAGGGCAGAATGCACAAAAGAAGAATATACACAAGAAAGATACAAAGGAAACATGTGGGCCCCATGGAGGGGCCTCTGAAACCGTCTTAAGAATATACAAAGACCAAAGAAAGAATTGGTGATCTGAAGGAGTCTTGGTGGGGGGAGTCATAAAAATTCAAAGAAGAAAGGGGACATTAAAAGATACTGGGCTCCCACATGAGGCCACAACACCAAAAAGCCCTGTCTTTTTGCCAAGACTTTGAAAACATAAAAAGCTCAAAATGTGTTGTCATTAGGAATCGAATTAAAGTTCCAGAAGCCTTTAAGATACACATGCTTTTAAATATCATGATAAATTATGCATCTATGACAGAGATTGGGATGCTTTGGCCTTCAAGTAATCAATAATTTAAAAACCATGAACATGAATCTAATCCAAATGGGAGTTTCAAAGTTGGATTCTGAAAGGATTCTTACCATTGACAAGATAGATGTGCCCAGAGAACTATGTCCCTTCTATCACAAAGAAAAGGGGGTAGCTTTCACATGCATTCATACACAGAGCACTGAGATATTAGAGCTGAGCATAAATAGATGAATTATTCATAGGTTTGCAAAACTTATCCTCTTTTTAATTCCATCAAGACTCTAGAACAGCCTCAATTCCATGACGACATCTCATAGATGATTTCCATTTCTTGGAACAATGCCAGTGTGAAAGTGAGACCAGCTTGCTGAAGAGAGGAACAAGGAACCCTAGCAACATTCAGGATATGACCAGATTATTTTTTTTCTAACACTTTGATGTGTCAATATACAGAAAATATATATAGTAACATCTAGTAGTTATCTTGCCACTTCTATGGCTACCTGAAGTATTTTCCTCCGAATTTAACCCTAGTTGAACTACCGAAAAGTGATGTGTGAGTCCATGGCTACGTTTACATGAGATGTTGTAGAAAATTTAAATCTGATGTTTGAAATTGCTTTTCATTGAGAATCTGCAAGTTGCATTTCAAATTGTGAGGTTTTTCAATGTACAACCTCCTTTCTTGGAAAACTAGCAAAGGAAAGATACTTTTACCCAATAAATTAACTTCTGCATTCAAAGTTAATTTTAGGATTAGTATTTTTTAACAAGACAGAGTGGGAGCTTTATCTTTAAGGAGTTTCTTCATCTGCTATCTACAATCAAGACATAGTGGATGTCCTTATTTCAACATCATACGCATAGACTAGTAGGGAGACTCTAAATGGGCTTTACCATATATTTGTTAGATATGTGTATTAAGCCAGTCTCTCTTCCTTTATTTTCCTAAACATAAATCTCTCAGCTTAACTGCTTGAATGCAGGTATGGTGATTTTCTCTGTTTCAATTTCCAGCAGTTAAGATTTCATTTAAATAGGGCATTTAGGCTGCTCTATATTATGCTGTTGCAATTGCATTACAGAAATTATGTTCTAAGGATGCAGTGATTAAAATTGATATTTGACTTAATTACAGGGTACAGTACATGGATATTTGAATGTAACTTAATGGAAAACAAGATGCTTTATTTGTAGTGATTTTCAAAGCTTTCATCCTTGCAGAAAGCTTACTCGTCAGTAGCTATCCAGCCAAGTCTCCAGTTGCTGACTCTCTTCAGGAGGAACACAGGAGAAGATGCAAGGAAAAGAAGGTAATGATGTCGTTATCCAGCTAAATACTTTGAATCTTTAATATATTCTCTTCTAACTAGCGTTTTCCTCAATGAATCGTCTTAATTCCATCACACCTCACTGAAGTATCATGAATATTTAAAAAGCACACAAATGTTCAGGACATCATATATGAAATAACAACCGCACCATGTGAAATATGACAGCATTTTGACTAATAAAAGAGTGGAAGTTCAGGATTATAACAAAGAAAAAAATACCTTCCCATAACTTTGGTGGAAATGTAATTAATTAGTATGCCTAGAGTAATTCTGTCTTCAAGGAGAAAGAACTGATTATAGAAATGCCATTATTTATTTACTTATCTACTTGGTTATTTTCACAAAGCCACATTTCAAAGTACTATTTTAATTTTAAAAGGCATCACGTTTTAAAACTTAGCTAAAAGTCTATGTTTCAGATAATTGTTTCAAATATATGCCTGAAAAGATTCATTGTTTTAAACAAGTGGTTTTATATTAACAGTAAATTGGTTTTCAGTTTCAAATTATTCTTTTTCACTAAATACATATTATATATATATATGTGATATATATTAAATATATATGTTATATATAAAATATAAATAATATATAAATATATAAAATAGTAAATATATATAATATAATATATATAAATGTGTATATACACACACACATACACACACACACATTTTAGTTTTGCTTTGGAGCAAAGAGCAATAATAAAAAATTTTTAGACCATATTGAATATGGGCTTATCTGTATGTAGCCAAAGAGTCTGATACTCTTAAGTTTTACAAAATTAAAAGAATGAAACTATCTTTAACATGGAATAAAAAATATGAAACAGGAAGAGATAAATTCACTCAACAAGGCTTTTGATTGGTATAAACATATGGAATCTCACATTTTAGCAAGTCATTTATCCAGCAACCTCAACTGTAAGAATATGCCTGAGAAACCGTCTGAAGAATTGAGTCAGGTGTTGCAAAGTCAAGTGACACACACTGGTCTCTTACTTACTCTTCTTGAATACTAAATTCTAATAATCTTAGTCTCCTAGTCCCTTAAGGCTCAGTGTACCAGAAAAGGTAGATATAAAAGAGTAAAAATAGAGAAAATGAAAGCAATGATCATGGTTCACCTTCAAAGAATGGGAGCAACTAGCCTGACACTGAAGAAGGAAACCAACTGATAAAAATATGTTTAAACTGTTGGCGACTTCCAAACACTGGGAATTTGGCCAATCTACTTAATTTCTTTGGACTTCTGTATCTTAGGTTGCCTCATAGCTACTTCATATTGCTTCATGAAATTGCTTGATATTAAATGAACTAATACGTGGAAGGCATTTGGAATAGTTCTAGGCATGTGAAATACTCAACAGGTATTCTTCACAAAACATCTCTCAGGCTCAGACTGATGAATTAAAAGCAAGTGACCTTGTGTATCTTGATAATTCAAAGGACATTGACTATCCTCAGGAATGAAATGTTGTCCTTTCCATTGCTCTAGGAGACCACACCCTGCCATTGGACTTTTGGAAACTCTTTCAAAGGAGAAGGTGAGAAGAAACTGTCTGATCTGATTGCTGAAGGTGTTGGCACCCACTGATAAAGCAGATGCAAACCCCAAGTGGACTGTGACTTGAAGACCCAAGTAGAGTTTATTTATTAGGGAGGTGAGTGAAGTAAATGACAGTAGGGTTACAGGGGTCTGAGATAAAATGTGAAGGTAGCCACTGAACAGTGAAGGAAGCATTGTCAAGCCAGTTTACCACCATAGGTAATGACCTTGACCACACTGGAGATTGAGTACAGAGCCATTCCTCAAACCCAATCAAATTAAAGGGAGAAGGGTCTGAAATATCCATGCACCTGCTCCCATCTCCCCTAGTTGAGGGATCCCTCAGGGGACTTCAATTCTCCAGCACTTCAGGTTGCCATGCAGAGCAAGTTCTGATATATATCAAGCCCACATGCAGTCAGAAGTCACAACGCTAATTTACACTGCAATGTCAGGGATATGGGAGGGGCAAAACATTGCCTGGTAAAGGTGGTGTCTGTTCAGATCTACCTGTGCCCTGTGGCAGGTTACTCCATTCTGCTGAGCAGATTGAAAAAATTAAAAAAGAAAAACTTAGAATGCAGGACATTAATTGGACAAGCCACAGACCCAGTTGCTCCAGTTAGTCTTGAGACCACAATCAATATTTATCTTCTCTCTCCTCTGTTACCTATTATAGCTTCCCTATGTTCTTAATCAACATATCTGCCAGTCTAAATTGCTGGTCCAGTGGGATAATTCAGATGGAGGGGGTTTCACGCTGGTACCTCTGTCAGATCATGGTGGCTGTAATTGCCCATCCACAGTTAAGAAATCCAAGCACTGTGAGGTGACCTGGGATCTAGCACATCCTATGACTCTGGACATTCCCCTTCCAGCCCACATTAGGTAGGATATAGCAACTATATCCCTTCATGGTGTTGACAATATTTATAATCATATGATAATAATTTATTATTTATAACCATATGATAATAATTTGATTATTATCATATTTATAATCATATGATAATAATCATATGATTATCAAATTTGCAGTATTTATGACCATATGATAATGCCATTATTACATAATTATAATAGTGTAGTAAATTTTTTCTTTGCTGATTTGAGTCTACTGGCATGAAAATCCTACAATGTCCAAGTAGTGGTTCTAATTTTAGTTTTACAGAAAGCTTAGAAGCATCTTCTCCTTAGAAAATAGGACCTCTGGTTCAGCACTCATTAACCAAGAAATCATGGGAAAAGATGACAGGGAAGACACTTCAGTTTTTGACTTTTTGGTTCCTGGTCTCACAGGTTTTTATGTGTCAAGGGAAGAACATCATATAAATACCACTGGTTCTAAACAATGTTCCATTAGAGTGGCAGCATTTAGTAATGTACTCCATGGTAGAACCAAAGGACATCTTGAGCATGTTCCATTGTTGCATCTCATTGGCTCTAAAATGGATCATGTGAGCTGAGATAGTATGCATATTGCTGTGATAATAAATCAGAAACACCACATGACTTCAGTGCTGGACAAATCACTGCAGAATGGAAGACAAGCAGAATATCAATCCCAGTGAGAAAAAAAATTATTGACCATTTAAGGCAGAATACTATCAACTATCTAATTCTATCGACTTGAAGCCAAGTGGTTTGTTGGTCTCCTCAGAGAAGACTAAATTGGGACCATATTACAAATTCTTTTTGTCACGGAATTGGATGCACGGTCATGAGAGCAGCTAAATAAACCTCATGAGAGGCAACCCATGGTTTTCAACCTGTGCATATTATCCCTCTCTGCGACTCCATCTATGGGATCCATTGTGCTAGCATTTGAAGAACTGAGGACTAAAGCCAGCTGATATATACTGGCTGCAGTTATTTTTTCCCTGCTGTTATTCTGTGGTTGATACCCTTGTAGGCAGTGATCGGAGACACACTCCTAAAGGTTCACCTGTGGTGAGTAGTTAATAAATCATTGCTTTGAATGATGTGAAACCTGGATAGTGAGACCTGCTTTTGGGAACCCCGTGGTGAGAAGGTGCCAGGGGAACACCCATTTGCAGCATGACTTCTATTGATAGAAAAGTTCCATGCTCCTCATGGAATTTACTAGTTCAAAAGCCTTGATCTCAAATCCCAGCTGCCCGGAGGTAGAAGAGATGGGTGTAATCTGCTAACCATTTGAATTTCTTCTTCTGTGAAGTGTCTGTTCAGTTCCTTTGTTCATTTATTGATTGGGTTATTTGGTTTTTTTTAGTGTTAAGTTTTTTAGTTCTTTATATATCTGGAAGATTAATGCTCTGAGATACAGGTGGTAAAGATTTCCTAAAGATAGGCTCTCTCTTCACATACTTTATTGTTTCTCTTGCTATGAGAAGATTTTTAGCTTGATACCATCCCATTTGTTGATACTTGATTTTACTTCTTGGGTTATATGAGTCTTATTGAGGGAAGTAGGTTCCCAAGTCCTACATGATGGAGATTGGGGCCTATACTTTCTTCTAGTAGGTGCAGGGTCTCTGGTTTAATGCCTTGATTCTTGATCCATTTTGATTGGAACTTTGTGCAGGGTGAGAGATAGGGGTCTAATTTCATTTTGTTACATATGGATTTCAGTTTTCCCAGCACCATTTGTCAAGGAAGCTATCTTTTCTCCAATGTATATTTATAGTGCCTTTGTCTAGTATGAGATAACTATATTTAGATGGATTTCTCTCTGTGTTTTCTGTTCTGCACCTTTGGTCTTCATGTCTATTTTGGTGCCAATACCATGCCATTTTTGTTACTGTAGTTCTGTAGTATAGTTTAAGATCTGGTGTTGTGATCTGCCCTTCTTCATTTTTCTTGATGAGGAATGCTTTGGCTATTCTAGGCCTCTTATTTTTCCAAAAGAATTCATGACTGCTTTTTCTATTTCTATGAATAACATCATTGGAATTCTAATAAATTTGCATTAAATCTGTTTAGTGCTTTTGGTCGTATGAAAATTTTAACAATGTTAACTCTGTCTATCCAATAACATGGAATATATTTCCATTTTCTAATGTCTTCTTCAACTTCTTTCTTTAGTGTTCTGTAGTTTTCATTATAGAAGTCTTTCACCTCTTTTGTTAGATTGATTTTTAAGTATTTTATTTTTTTTGAAGCTATTGTGAATGGGATAATTTTCCAAATTTCTCTTTCAGTTTATTCATCATTGATGTATAGGAAAGCAATTGTTTTAAGGGCAATAATTTTTTACCCTGCTACTTTGCTGAATTGATTTATGAGTTCTAGAAGTTTTCTGGTGGAGTTTTTTTGGGGTCTTCTAAATATAGAATCATGTTGTTGACAAATAGGGGTAGATTTTCTTTTTTTTTATATTGGTATCCCTTTAATTTTTTTTCTTCTAATTTCTCTTGCTAGAGATTCCAAGTCTGTGTTAAATAGAAATATTGAAAGAAGGCAACCCTGTCTTGTCCCAGTTTTTAGAGGGAATGCTTTCGAGTTTTCTCCATTTAGTAAGATGTTGTCCTTTGGTTTAGCACATATACCTTCTACAATGTTGAGGTATGTTTCTACTATCCCTACTTTTTCTAGTGTTTTGAACATGCATGGATGCTGTATTTTGTCAAATGCCTTTTCTACATCTATTGAGATAAGTATATGACTCTTCTCTTTAAGTGTCTTGATGTGACAAATTATATCTATTGATTTACGTATGTTGAACAAACCTTGCATCCCTGAGATGAACCCCACTTTATCATAGTGCACTATTTTTTAATATGTTTTGTATGCATATTGCAAGTATTTTATTAAGAATTTTTGCATCTGTGTTCATCAGAAATATTGGCCTGAAATTTTCATTCCTTGATGTGTCTTTGGTTCTGGTATGAGGGTGATACTAGCTACATAGAATGAGTTTGGAAGGGTTCCTTCCTTTTCTATTTTATGGAATAATTTGAGGAAAATTAATGTTAGTTCTTCTCTGAAGGTCTGATAGAACTGAGCTCAGAATCTGTCTGGTCCTGGGGTTTTCTTTATTGATAATCTTTTGATAATATCTTCAATATTATTACTTGAAATTAATCTGTTTATATTTTCTATGTCCTCCTTATTCAATTTGAATAGCTCATGTTTCTAGACATTTGTTGATGTCTTCAAGATTTTGTATTTTATTAGAGTATAATTTTTTAATTTAGTTTCTGATTATCACCTGTATTTTAGTAGTATCCATTATGATATTTCCTTTTATATTGCAAATTTTAGAAATTTGAGTTTACTCACTTTCACTTTGTGAGCTTGCCTAAGGTCTTATCAATTGTATTGATTTTTTTCAAAGAAACAACTTTTTGTTTTATTGATTTTTTGAACTTTTTGTTTGTTTCAATTTCATGGATTTCAGCTCAGATTTTAATTATTTTCTTTCTTCTGCTTTTGGTGTTGATTTGTTCTTCTTTTTCTAGAGCTTTCTAGATGTAATGTTAGGCTATTTATTTGTTGATTCACTATTCTTTTAATGAATTAGCTCAATACAATGAACTTTCCACTTGCACTGCCTTCATAGCATCCCAGAGATTTTTATGTATTTTATTGCTATCCTTATTTACCTCTCAGTATTTTTTAATTTCATCTCTGATTTCTTCTGTTATCTATTGGTTGCTCATACTATATTATTTACTCTCCAGGTGTTAGAATCACTTCTATTTTTCATTTTATCATTGATTTCTAATTTCATTACATGATGATATGATAGAATGCAAGATATGATCTCTATATTTTGTATTTGCTAAGAATTGTGCCTTAGATGTGGCCTATTTTAGAGAAGGATCCATGTGCTGCTGAAGAACGTGTATTCAGTCATTAGTGAGTGAAATATTCTATATATGTTTATTAAGTCTAAATTATTATTTGTATTTTTTAGTTCTATAGCTTCTTTTAGTTTCTATTTGGTGGATCTAACAAGTGGTGATAGAAGTGTGTTAAAGTCACACAATATTTTTGTGTTGTGGTCTATTTGATTCTTGAAATTGAGAAGAGTTTGTTTAATGTACATAGAAGCTACATTATTTGGGACATAAATATTTACAATTGTTATGTCTTTTTTATATATATTTCCCTTAAGCAGTGCATAATGGCCTTCTTTGTACCTTCTGATTAACTTTGCTTTGAAGTCCACTTTGTCTGATATGAGGGTAGAAGCCCATGCTTGTTTACAAGATCTATATGGATGGATTTTTTCCCATCTTTTTACCTTCAGTAAGTGTATATCTTTGACTTTGAGGTGAGTTTCTTAGAGGCCACATATTATTTGGTCTTGTTTTTTTTAATCCAATATGTCAGTCTAGGTCTTTTGATTGATGAGATTAGGCCATTAACATTTAATGTTATCAGTGAGCAATGATTTTTCTTAGCTGTATTTTTATTTATATTTCATTTTGTATTTGACTTTCTCCTTTAATCAACTATTCTTCAAGTGTAGTTTCTCTCTTTGCTGGTTTTCTTTTTTATTTTTCATTTCTTCTTCTTGAAATATTTTATTGAGTATGTTTGTTGTGCAGGCTTTCTAGTTGTTAATTTTTTTATCTTTTGCTTGTCAGGTAAGGTTTTTATTTCATTGTCAATTCTGAAGCTTAATTTTGCTTGGTTTAGTATTCTTGTCTGACATACATTTTCTTTTAGAGCTTGATATAGATTAATCCAAGACCTCCTCCTTTGAGGGTCTGGGTTGAGAAATTAGCTGAGATCTGGATTAGTTTCCTTTTAATTGTTACCTTTTGCTTTTCTCTGGCAGATTTTAAAATTCTACCCTTATTCTGTACATTAGGCATTTTCATAATGATGTGCCTTGGCGTGGGTCTGTTCTAATTTTGTATATTCAGGGTCCTGTATGCCTCCTGTATTTGATTTTCCACCTTAGTCTTTAAGTTTGAGAAATTTTGTGATATTATTTCATTGAAAAAATTGTGTATTCTTTTGGTTTATATCTCTGATCCTCTATAAATTTTTAATTTGGTCTTCTGCTCATGGTCTCTTAACACCTTCTCTCCATAGTCAACATAGTTTTCATGATTATATATTTTGTCTTCATTTCCTGAAACTCTGTCTTCCAAGTCATCTAGCCTATTGGTGATATTTTCCATTGAATTTTTATTTGGTTTATTGATTCCTTAATTTCAAGGATCTCTGCTTAATTTTTTTTCAGGATCTTTGCCTTTTTAATGAAGTGATCTTTCACTTCCTATATTTTCTTTGTGATTTAATTTCTTACACTGTCTTTTACTTCAGAGATCAATTTAACTATATACATTCTAAATTCCTTCTCTGACATTTTTTCTATTATGGTATTGATGGAGTATGTTATTGAAATATCTTTGTTTGGGGTGATGTGTACCCTTACTTAGTGTGTGTGTGTGTGCTTATGTGTGTGTGTGTGTGTGTGTATGTGTGTATGTGTGTTTGTGTGTGTGTGTGTCTACCATGTATCAGTATGATTCTGAGACAGTAGAGTCTCTAGCCTGTGGACTTATAGTATCCCTGAAGGTTTTCTTTACTTCATCATTTAGGGGGAGACAAATAATAACAACAACCAATGTAAACAATATACAGCATTAAACCAAATAGTTCCTTCTGTGGTGTCTACAATATTGTTACAACAAGCACAAATGATATAATCAGTTATTGCCTACAATAAAAACAATAAATTTGTAAAAATGTTTATGATTTTGAATGGTGAACAGGATGAGAACTGATGTGATAGAGGACATGATGATTATGATGGAGTATGAGAAAAGACAGAAGTAAAAACTTTCATGCATCATCTCACACATGAGCTTTTGGAAGACATCCTATATCTAA